GAAAGTTTGCCACATAGTTCGTTGCTGGTCGTGCTCGTTTTGTGTCCTTCMTAAAAAGCATTAATCCTCTAAAAGTTATTCACATGCATGAGCGAAAATGTATGCTGTTGAGTTTTTTATTCGATTTTCTTGGTCTACAACTGTGATTTCTCAAGCTTTCGTCAGTTCGGCACACACTTGCATACAAACACACATATGTACGCCAGGCACTGTTTACTTAGGTGCATGCGGTTATTATGCCACATACTAAAAAGCAGCAAAGTAGTAAAATTTCTTAATCTCTTAATGGATGGCAATAGCGTAGAAAAGTTGAACGACCAACTTGGTTGGTGGGCTAGCAAAAACAAAAAAAAAAAAACTTGAAAATATGTTGGAGGTATTACCAATCAAAGTGAAGTAAAAATGAAATACTTAAGAKACAGGCAATATTTTTACTTAGCTCTGAAAACTGAAATAATGGTAAAGCCTAGAGTCATATAAAGGTTCTATTGGAGTTATACATTCCGGTTATATGGTAACTAAAGGAGTCAAAACAGTTATTTTTCCCTAAAAAGTTTAACTTCGCCTTCTACCATAATGGCTACCGCTTGATTGAGAGCATAGAATACTCCCTCTCCATCTTTGTTCCTTGTTGAGATGGAGTAGGCCCCGCGGCGGACCACCGCCAAGTCCTTAAATGCATCCATCTTCTCGGTGTCTGATTGTAATCTTGTTAGCAATGCATTTGCTATTTGGACGGCTTCTATACATTTGATGCTATTAGCTACCATCTTTGTTGTTGTACGTAAAGCAACACTATTTACGGATAAAGCCCTCCACCAGATAAATTCACCATAGAACAGTCTTGGCTTAACTACGGTTTCGTAGAGCAAACAAACAACTTTTGATGAGAGGCCCTACCACTTTCGAAAAGCTCCTTTACAACAGTATAAGGCAAATRTAGTCTTCCTCACCCCTTCTTCAATGATAGCTTTCTATCAAGCATGTGATCCAGTACTTGAACTTCTCGACCAAACAAATCAAGGACAACAAAGAAACGCACACACATATACATATACAAATAAATAGGCACGCATATGCATATTTAAAATACAACTTACCGAGACAGGTACAGTGAATTAATGAGTGGGCACAAAAGACAGAGCGGCGTCGGCCGACTGAGTGGATGAGTGATAGTACACCAGTGTATCAGAGGCACACTACATATATGTATTTATATGTGTTTGTATTCGTGTGTATGTGTCATAAGCACAAAAAGGTAATCAAAATATTGCGACACATAAGGGCGCCCGCAGCTGACATTTATGACGCTACATCCGCCGAGATGCACACACACCCAAACATACCTCCGCCCACTGCAGCTGATAAGCCRCACACACGTGTATAAATGTATGTGTGTATTCACATGTGGGTGTATGTCAAATATTAATACAGCGATGCAAGGCTACAGATATCAACTCTAGTGTGCCCTGATGCTTTCTGATGAAATGGCGAAAAAGTGCCGCATAAACAGACAGACAGACTCACCGAGGAGTAACAGCGCGACAAATCTACATAAAGCATACAATATTTACTGGCATACAATTACAAATGGCAGAGCTAAAAATGGGGCGCAAAATCGGCGATGAGATATGGGGTGTGTGTGCATTGTTGGCGTTACGGAAATCCCTTTGTGGCTGTGTCTGRCAGCGAGCGTGTTACTTGTACCCCTACGCCGTTGGCATGCAAATGATTTAAGCTAATCAAATGGCATGTGCGCAGCAGCAGCCACACTATACACTCTACTCCCGAACCCCCTCAGCTCTTGTATCGACTTYACTACGAACGCATTGCAGGTCAGCRTTAAGATAAAGTGCCTGTGTGTCGCTCAAAGGACAAAGCATACATTTCAGCGTCGCAGTTGTTGGGCGACAGATTTGCCGCAGATCGCAGATAAGTAACCGGTATACTGTGTGTATGATATGGACATATTTGTACTATAATTTACATACATTGTTGGTAAAAAATTGCTAGCTTTTTTATTGCGCAAATCCCAATGGGCGAATGGTCGCTCAGGTAATGAGCAGTAAATTGCCTAAAATTCTCATTCAAATTGCCGCTTTCTTGTGCTATAATTTTCGCTGGTATRTACTTACGCTTATGGTTTGTCATCAACTCGCGATAATCAGTTTTTGAAACAAAAAAATTAATTAGCAGACATGCTCGCTGACCGTTGGGCGGCAATTGAGCGTAGACCCAAAGAATTGTTTTAAAGTAATGAGCAAACATTTGGGATGGCTGGTCATAGYGGAATCGCTGGCAACTGTACAGCCTGWGAGCTAGCTATATAGGTAATGTTTTTAACTCGCTCAAATCGGAATCAGAGCGAGCGAGTTGGATAGCCGTCATCTTATGTACGTTCTATTGCTATACATGTGGATCGCGCTTACGCTTAGGCGTCTGTTGACGACCAGCCTCTGTCCGACTGCCAGATCGCTTTGGCCTAGAGTAGAACGTAGGAGACCTACTGTACTATTTGCAAAGTTCATGTTGTTGTCATGTAGAAGTTCTTACTGAACATTGTCGGACGCAAGACTGGATTTTTTATCATTTGTGCCTATTGGACAATGTAGAGTAAGAACCTCTATCAAATGTCTATGGATGCAGGTGAGGTGGAAACACGCAATCACTTTCTGCTACATTAACCAGCTTTTAAAAGGCTGCRGTTGAAATATCTCTGCAATCATAACTTGGGGACATAGCCGAGGCTGACATTAGCCGCAGCAACGATTTTGTGAACGCCTCAAAGTGCTTCGTCAATTGATGATCAATTTTATAGGAGTTCCAAGTACTACAATGATTAGCACGACCACTTAACCAAACATTCGCTATTTTTTAACAATCAATGCCTTTCTCACCCTATTTCAGCATTGACCTTCATTCAAAGCTTTGTATCAAAGATGAGAACCAAGTTCTTCTCCTTTTCGGCAGTGTGAAGCCAAGAGCTCTCCTACAACGGAAAGGCTACATACGGAATTTGATTCCGGATCCAAGTACTTCACTTATTCAACAGGGCTGGGTGCCGAGAGCCCCCAATATGGGAAGCTATACCACTTGATAATTAAATGTAGTGCAGTTCAATTTGGATTGGAAGCGTTAGCCGCTTCTATCCGCCCAACTAGCTACCACATTAAGGTTATAGTTCGAAAAGAGGACTCTAAGTAGACCCATTCGAAAATACTCACGTCAAGTGTTTTTTTTGTTTTTTTCTATAAATCAATATACTGCCTACCTACCTACTGCCTACCCTTTAACTAATAATGTACTCATATAAAGAAGGATATTTCCGGTACTATATGTCAGGTATAAATCTTATAACCATAAAAATTCGATCACTRAGAACATAAATAAATGATTTGCACAAATACATATCATTCTCTCACAATACAAACATATATCTGCTTTTATATTTCACAGAAAAACTAACATCACCACGGCTCTCCACATAAAAAGAGAAGAAGAGACACTACACGTATTCAAAGAGGCTATCCCGAAGATATATTATACATTTGTTAATATCCACACAAATACATGCGCAACCGACTGAAAATAGTTGGGAGAGTATATTACACTCTTTTATATACGCTGAGTATATTGCGCTCTTTAGTTTGCACAGTGCGCTGACCGCTCTTCGCTCTATGCTCTCTTGCTGAGCTGCTGCGCTATTGGATAAGTGTATGCGTTCGAAATCGTGACGCTTGCGTAATATAATTGCACAAATGAGAGTTTAAGTAWATGAGCAAAATAAATCGGAAGGAGAGTATATGGGAAACGGAAATGAACTGTATAAGCGAAGTCTAATACAAGAGGGGAACGGAAATGAAATTTATAAAAGGGGTAATTATAGGTGAGAAATTGAGAGCAATAAGCGCATTTGACTTATATTTGTAAGCATTTCCAATAAAATTACTAGTCGATGACAATAACTCGGCAGCACCATTACCTAACTGCGTTAATTGCTAAACGAAATTGAAAAGACATGAACTTTTTTGTAGAAAATATGGCAAAAGTGATTAATTTTTTTTTTTTTTTTGTTTGGTTACTTAGTTACTGAAGTGCTATTTACATAAAATATTAGTGAGAATTGTATAAAAACTTAAACTTATATAATTAACTGGAAATTAAAAACGGAAATCTGTTTAGAAAAATGAGAGTCGGTTTTGGTCGGCTTAAAATGTGACGTAATCTTTCGCGCAGCAATCTTTAGACGTATGTATGTACATATATGAGAGAGCCGAGCACTACTGTAAACTGCTCAAAACGGCAATAGTGAAGTGGGTGTAAAGAAATACAAAATCGAAGTAATTGCACTGTATGTATACATATATATTTTCAAAACTGAGCAAGAGAGATACAGTACAGCTATGAATTACAGTTACTAATACGCTATAAAACATATAAACGCAGTGTTAAGGCAAAAGCTAAAAATRGACGTTAAATGTAATATAATATGATACAAAATCTTAACAAACTCCAAAACTTTCACTTAAACGTAGGAAAAACGTGTAAAGTGTTTATTAGTATTACGACTACTCAATGCGGTTCGGTTCGCGATTAAAATTGATCGGCGCGGTTCGCGTGTGTAAGCCGTGTATGCTAAAGGCAAGTGCTGTCAAATGTTGATAGTTTTATAAAAGGGTAGTGTTCAAAGAAAAATTTAATAAGTAGTGAAATTAATTATTTTATAAAAAAGTTCAAGTCTTTTAAAAAAATATAAGTGACAAGGGCAAAAAAAATGTAAGTAGTAAAGTATCAATTATTTTATAAGAAAAAGTTTATTTCAATAAAAAAAATATGTTGCCTTTTAAGAAAATATAAGTGATAAAGAAAAAAAATAAAGTCAATTATTTAAAAAAAAAAAAAAAAGTTCAGTTGTTTGTGCCGTCTTTTAAAAATATAAGTGGTAAAAGCAAAAAAAAAATGCATGTTGAAAAAATAAATGTGTGTGTGTTTTCAAAAATTAAAGAGGCTGAGGAAAGTGAGAGCCCAAATTGTGATCGATTCGTTTYATATAATAATCATTATATCGTTCGTTCTCGTTAAATAAAAAGTCACAGTATCGTAAAAAAATCATGGAGTTGCTGGAGAAGGCTTCAACTTTAAAGATTCGTTTAACGGTAAGTCATTTTTCATATGTCTACATTTAATGCATTTATATATTTCACGAAATATATCCATTTAAATTCTGACAACTATTTTAGAGAAAATTAAAGGTAATTAAATTTGATGGTCCTTTAGCACCGAATGCTGAATCTATACTGAAAGTCTATTTTGTTAAGGGTACTTTTATTTGAGGAGCCAAAGTGTTTGAAGACAGTTTCTGAGATTATATATTATATCTTCTACATTGTATAACTGGGTTAATCCTTCGAATTAACAAAATAATAGTAAAACTTGTTTCTAGTATAGTTTATATCCTTTTCAAAAAGTGTTGTTTTATTTCTTGAGTCAAGTTATCTTTTGTATGAAATTACCTACGCTATTGTTGCCAAATTTTGCACTTTAAATCCAAAGGTTTTGGAAAGCACAAAGCAGTGTATTTACATTATATTTTACAGATTAAAGTATATGTGTTGTTTCCACCAGTGGTCAGGGGCGAATCTAGAGTAGAATCTTAGGGGTGAACAATATAATTTTGTACTTGATTTGAGAAATGTTAACCTGTACAAGCATTGGAAATAATGTATAACATTTCGCTTTCGGGGAGAGTTGACCCCGCCTCCCGCGTATCCGCTCCTGGCTGAGAATATATAAAATTTTGTGAATTTAGTAAACTCTAAAAGCGAAAACTCTGAGTGATGTGAGCAAAAGAGAGCCTATTATATATWATATATTATAAAAAACAGGTCATCATTGAAGATTCTTATATGTGTAAGTGATATTTGCATTAAAGGGGAAACATCAGGCTTTCCATATCATATGCTATGTGAAAACGAAGTACAGTAGGATCAAAACGTAATTGAAGATTTTATACTACACTTCTTTATAAGCTCTTTCCTCTGCCATGTAACCATTCCATCGCAAGAGTTAATGTTTGCTCTCTACTGGAATCATGGAATACACATACGCACACTTTCTCATAGGCCGCGCTMAACTATCGTTGAAATCAAATTTCAATATCTATGTGTGTATTGTAAAAAAATATAAATGTAATTGCAGGTACATCTCTTGAGTTCAACACTCATTTCCGTTTCCCCTCTGAGCAACTTTAATCTTACTATTCAGCTGCGCTGAACGCTAACTAACATGCAGATACACATACAGCTTCACTGGAAACGGAAATGAATCTGCAGTATTTAAAGMGAGTGTAATGCAGAGAGTCAGATGMTCTCTTTTTTATGATGAGCGCATAACAGATCTAAATTTGGAATTTTATACATTGGTATAGGTGGGTGTAGCTAAGTTATGAGAGTATCTCATTAACGGCAATTTGAGTACAATAGAAAATAAAACATTCTTGAGTAAATGTCTAACGTAACGGAAGTTTTCCAATTACGCAACAAAAATGTAAAATTTTGTATTAAAGAACTTCTCTTTAAAGGGGAAACTGATTTTTGACTATCCAAAAGCAGAATCTATGCAAAGTACAGTAGCGTGCAAAGGGTAAATGAAGCTAAGAAATGCTCGCAAAAATAGTAGTGCAAAAACAGAAACCCCAGCACCTGACCTGATTGTAGCTCTACACTACATAAAGAGTTATAAGAGTAATTAGAGCGTATTTTGCRAAAATATGTATATAAGAGCATTACGCTCTTTTTCATCAGTAATATTGTTTTCACTATATTATTGAATTTTTGAATATCATGGAGCCCAACATGTCAAACACACACCGTCAATGACGCTAAATTGTTGTCCATTGGTCGGCAGGAAAAAATCCCATATTTCGTCTATATTTCTGSCATTAGCAGCGGCAGCACACATTCACAACAACAACTCGTGGCCAATATCAGTACTACCGGCCTTCGAAAGTGCCATTTATAGCGTTTTAGTATGAGTAGTTAACCTTCATAGATATATGTTTATGGTAGAGTGCATGTGAAGTGGAGAGCCCGCTGAAGTGCAACTTGGCAATAGTTCACGCATTAATTAATTCGAAAATGGCAGCCACAAGTGTTTGCCTCTCAACTCGCAAATTCAATTCATTTGATGATCACTGAGTGCAATTTAAAAAAATTTAACACTTGAGCTTTTGACMGTTATTCGTGCGCATGATGTGCTAAACGATAGCAATTTTCTATAAYTTTAAGCAGCGAAGTTTTTTTCAATATTTAGTTGATGAAGAAAATCGAAACAAAGTGCAGAAGTCTGCCCTATTTAAATAATATTTCATTGTCATATGCTTYATCTTCTTTCAGAAAATATATAGACTATTTCATAATTGTACCGAACCCATTCTTCCTCAGAGCTTTAAATCATATTAATTGTTAATTTTTATACTGAAAACGAATCCTACCTCTACGCATATAAGTATTTCAGCTACCAATATTTTAGATTTCTTTTCGAAAATGCTTGTAAGGGTTCTCTAAATTGTCGAAACAAACCCACTTTTAATCGAAGCATCTAGGATTTCGTTTGTATGACAAAGAACAAGTAAGGCAAACTGGGTCAAATTCAAAGCCCCCAACTGAGTGGAGGTTCTCTGTGCAACTTGAAACAGCAGGTGTCACAAGAAAAATGTTTGATAAAACCTGGCCGCCGCTAACTGTCATTTACCCATAACTTGCAGAGTGAAAAATTAATGAAAAATAATATTTTCTTGAGTTCCTAACGAGCTTAAGTTAATGAATTTATTAAGAAACAAATATAAATAAATAGATAAAAATAAATACAAAAAAATAAAAATAAATAAATAAATAATTTTCCAAGCTTTCAATTTAATTTTTCGGTGCAGCATTAGTATCGTCGTCTTGTAAAACATACATATATCCAGTTCCGCGTCTTATTTCACTTTGCTTCTTCCTCAGCTTGTGMTGAATCATCCAACTCTATACCAGTATCTGCATCCTCTTCGTCTGGTATGGGATTGCCGCATTCAATGCCATAGAATAAACATCTTGGACACTTCGCGCTATTAACTGTCAGTTCAAAATTTCCAAATTTCATTATGTTTTTGTTAATTTTTATATTTTTTGTTTATTAAGTTTTGAATTTATTTTGATATTCTTTTGTCGTTGAAGGCTTAGTACACACTGAAGTTTTTCTTTGGTGTCAGGTCTTTTATAAACATAGTCGAGGTTGTAGAGGCGGTGGTATTTAGTAGAGCAGGTAACGAAGATCATGAGTTTTCGGTTTAGCGCTTGAGTTCTGAGAATACAAACTCCGATGTTTTTAGCCGACTTCTCGGAAATAGCTGACTTAAACCTTTTTCTTTTTGTGTATTTTTTAAACTGGGAGTAACGCTTTATTTAGTGTTACATTTATGTTTCTGAACAATGTGCCTACAAAACTATGGAAAAAATTAAAATACATCTTTATTAGTGGAAATTGTAGGGAATTTCCCGTCTTCAGACTAACACAGTGTCATTGGCATAACCTACAAATCATTCAAAATTGCGTTCTTCTTCAACTATGGCTCTTAACGACCCATAAAACAGCGAACAAAAATAAAAATTCTAGTCATGAGTCCTAACGTTAGTAGAAGTATAAGCAAATCATGATCGCAAAATTGGATTTAACCATATCTGAAGCATTTACGAACGCTTGTTATACACATTAAATGTATAATGTGCAATAACTCTTACGTCTTCTTGCATATTCCCTTAATATTTMCATTTATAGCAAAACATAACCACTCCCCATAGCTCTTCACTAAAAGCTACTTGTTAACGGTACTTTCATCAAAGCTCGCTTTTATGCTTAGAAAACAAACTGTCTGATAGCAAAGTTTTATGCAACAAAGCACAACGACAACAAACAAGCGCAATAAATGAAGCAAAATAATATTTAACAAGCAGTGAACAGTTAAGAGCATGTGATGCGAAACTTTCGACTTCCATAATACGGCGGCGATATCACGCTTTTGGCAAAACCATAAAAATGCTTAGCTAACAAGATAGTATTTAACTTTACAAAGAAACATTTGCAATTGTCTGCCGCTATCAGCTGCGCGGTAGAGTAATGGCCATTTCTATGCTTAAATATTATTTTTGATAACATTCACCCAGCCAACAGCTGATTTACACACTTCTGCTGACAAAAGTTAAAGAAATAAACAAATAAACAACTTTTTGACAACAATGCGCTGGAGCAATCAAATTTGATTGGACAAACAACTCATTTGCTGTTGTATTTTTTTTTTTTTTTTTTTTTTTTT